ACATTGGGACCGAGACATTGGACGAGGGATTATTTGGGACCTATATCGAAGACTTGGTGTTGACGACATTCCCATCTTCCCCCTCTTCTTCGTCTGATCCCCCTCCTCCTCGTCTGTGTATGTTTGGGACTGCCGCATTCTTCCTGTGTGAGTGCCAGGTCCCTTCACACCTTGCGATGATGATGATGTGTGTTTGGTCTGCACTGCGACATTGATTGGGTTGATCACTGGTATTTTAGCCTTCCGCTGTGCTATCCTGTACTATGTGAGAGAGGTCGGTTCTTGTTCTGGTCTGTACCATTACGGTATGCGACACTAATGACAAGGGGAACCAGCAGCAACAGCAATTGCAACAGAATCGGTTCGCATGACTCCTCAGATGATAATCAGTGATAGATGATGCTGTTGGATAAGTCATGAATGAGGAATGGTTTGAGAGAATAAGCCTTAGACAGCATGTGAGGTGCAGACATTACAGTTATTCGGTCATGAGCTGCACAAACTAGTAAATTAATGAAGCTTGTACATGTTAATTTGTTCTGCCCATAGTCCCACCGGTTGGGGAGAACAATTTTTCTTAGTACATGGTGCCTACGGTAGTTCTCCCACTTCACAACCTCAGTTGTCAAAGGTTGCACTTGCCTGTAGGGGGAGGGGCAAGAGACAGAAAACTGCAAAACTGATTATAGTGATCGAGGAGTGAGTAGCGATCGATGCAGTGCTTTCACCTGCACGATCATGTTTCTTAATGAAGCACAGTCGTGAAGGTCATGGTGGTTGACGAGATGAGCGAAACGTAAAAGGTGATTCTGATCAACACCGTTGTCAGCAGAAAGGTAGGTAAGACAATGGTTCACAACGGATCTCCAATAATTATCTTTTTATGAAGGCGACAATGGTTCACAATGGATCTCCAATAATTAAATATTTTTTTCCTTTCTTTTTTTTTTTGTGAACGTCTGGCGAGGGCGAGACTTGGGAGAGTGATAAGAGCATCTCCCTCAAGTGGTTCCTCAGGTGAAGGCTCCGTCTATTGGTGGGGAGCTGCACCTGCTGGAAACCAGGTCCAGCGTCCCAAGTATTACAGGAAAGTGTTGAATTTGCTGGAAACCGGGTCCAGTGTCCCAGTTATTGCCTTATTACGGGCCTTCGTACTGCTGAAGGGCCCGGTTGTTCCTGCTATGATTATTGCTTTGTTCCTCCTTGCCCCTCTTCTAGTACCGCTGTCAACTTTTGATCTCTTTCCAAGAAGTCTCTGCGAGGTCTGTTGTTCGGAGGGTCCAGCTCCCGCTGTTGTTGAGTTCCTGTTTCCTTCTTTCCTTTTCCATCGTTGTGTAGTTGAGGGGGAACCTGGTTGCCTGGTCTCAGTCCCTGTTTTGAGCAGGCCTCCTTGCAGCTCCGTTGACTATGTTGTGGGTAGCTTGGTTTTGGTTGTCCACCTTTGTCGTTCTCCCTCCCCCTGTGGTAGAGACTGCAGCATTAACTGGCCATCCTTGTCTGTCCTGTCATCCAGCGCCCAAGGCCTCACGGTACTTGGTCTGCTCAGATGGCTCGGTGGGGAGTGCTGGGGAACGGGGCAGAGAGCCCAGCAGGTTGAGGAAGGGGATTGAGGACGGGAGGTTGGGGGGGGGGGGGGGGGGGGGGGGGGGGGGGGTGGGGGGGGGGGGCCAGGGGGGGGGGGGGGGGGGGGGGGGGGGGTCGGGGAGCGGGTCTCCACCGGGAGAGCCGGGGCTGGTGGCGGCGTGAGAGGTGGGGGAACCATTGGAAGTGGGGGGGGAGGCTGCTGGGGCACAGGGGGCGGGGCGTTGGGCAGGGGGGCCAATGTTTGATCAGGCGATGGGGGGGGTTGGGTTGACTGCGTCTGTGGGGGGCAGGAGGAGGGGACTCGGGCGGGTATCTCATTCGAGAGTTGGGCTCCTGATCCTGCATTGAGGCTCACCATGGGCATAGCGCCTATTGTTCGGGGAGGCAGGGTGTTACATCTTCGACGCCACACGGGTCCTACCGGACCCGACTTAGGGCTAGAGGGACACAGTAGGGCCTAAAGGCCCGGACTTGGGGTACAGCAGACCGTAAAGGCCACAGTTTTGGACCAGACCCGACGAGCAGGCCCAAACGACATACCATTTGGGCCTGGCGGCGCTTTTGAGGCTGCCGCCCGCCGGTCTGATCTGAACCGTCGATCTTGACGGTTCAGGTTACGGCCAGGCCTTGCAGCGTTGAGGCCGGCCTCGTTTCACCGGTACTAAAGACCGGTCCGGCCTCATTCTCAGGCATCGAGCCACTGGCATCCTGTATCAGCGCCAGTGCGTATCGGTTCAGCAGAGGAGCGTTAGCGCCAGCGCTATTCTTAGCGCAGTGCGGAGAAGGAGCAGCAGCGCAGCTAGCGCAGCAGCGGCAGCGAGCGAGGAGCCAGGCAGCGGGCAGCCATAGCCGATCTTGGCTTCCGTCAGTTGCAGCAGGCCAGGTACTCGGGAGTGAGGTCTTCTCCTCCCTCCACGGTCCCTGGCTCCCCTCTTCCTCACCTCCTCCTCTTCTGCCATCTCATCTCATCTCTTCTTCTTCTTCTTCTTCTTCAGACTTCTTCTTCTTCTTCTTCAGATTGGAGACTTGATACTAGTTGGACAGAGATCAGTGTTGGACTTCGGTGGTAAGAGGCTGTGGTACTTACCGGATTCGAGACTTGGAGGTTGTTGGGGYTGATACTCGGCGGCATCACAGTTCGGACACCGTTTACATTAGGACTCTGTATCTCCGACATTGGTGACTTATTGTCCACGACATTTTGATCTTGTTTGATGACATTTTGGACTACCATATCGGTGATCTATTGGATTCTATCTCGGTGACCTCTGRTGCTACCTACATCTCCCACCTCCTTCGTCTCTCCTCCCACCTTTCATCTGTGTATGTGTGTACGGGGCCTGAGCATCGTCTGTGCTTGGCTCAGACCCCACCATCTCA